GCCCTTTTGCTTCATCCATCTGGTCCACCCTCTTCCCAAGTATTGGTGCAGCCTCTTGGCCCCATTCCATGCATGATTTGATCCTCTTCAATGAATCCGCAACTGTCAACAGATATATTAGTTGCATTTGGAAGGTCGTGCTTCCATGTTGTTCCTGGTGGATTTGGAATAGTCGCAATTTACTCATCTTTAAAGATAGACAGCATAATTCAGACCTTATTGCAGCTAATGTGGCTAGGTATACTCTCCATTGGGCATGTGCTCACGAAGACAAGTTGGCTAAAAGGATCAGAAGGGCTGCAATCAAGCTGCAGTTTGATGAAATAGCAAAGAAGAAGGCTGCAGCTGATGTGGGAGATAATTTTTCAGCAAATTAGACCATGTGCTGGCACGGACCTCCTTTGGACTTTCTTTTGAGTAGTTTTCTTGAGGAGTAGCTTCTTTCTCATCTCTTTTGGCTTATAAACTCCCAAATGTGATTTTATTACTATCTGGTGTTGTAATATCTTCTTAGTTAATTAGCCTAGGCCGGTGACTTTCAGTTTCTTTTCCTCTCTTTCTTTTGTTTTCATCTTCTTCTGGTCTTCTTTTGATGTGTTAGGTTTGTAACTTCTATGTAAGTTCTTTTGATATAAATAAATATTTAATGAGCAGGAAGTTTTTCCTGCTTTTCTTGGTTCAAAAAAAAAAGGGGAATGTGGCGCAAATGGAAATTGCAAGTTGTAGAGAGATGCTATAAAATTACTAAATGAAAAACTGTTGACGTAGCGTCGATATGTCCGAGTGGTTAAGGAGACAGACTTGAAATCTGTTGGGCTCCGCCCGCGCAGGTTCGAACCCTGCTGTCGACGATTAAGTTTTGCTTCCCTGTAACAATTCATGCAGATCCAATAACTCGGAGACACCCGTTTTAATTTTATATTGGATACATAGGGAAGAATCTTTTTATCTATCTTCTATATCTATATATATACTATTATTATAAAAATGAGATTGGGGTGTTAAAATTTTCTTATTTTTCTTTTTGCCGTCTTAAATTTTGATAAATTCTAACCATATCATTATCTATAATTAATCTTTCTTAAATAATTAAATATAACATCTTATTAATTATGCACATCCTCACCTTCCTAAATAATTACACATATCAATAATATTACAAGTATTAATTGTTTAAAATAATTTATAAAATAAGTATACACAATTATTAGTAGTAAGTAATTAAATTATTATGATAATTATTTATGAATTATAATAATATAATTAAAATAATAGTATAAATAGAATAGTATATTACTAAATACTATTAAGAATTATAATATAATTCAATGAGCAATAAAATAAATATAATAAATTTTGAATAGCATAAATAGTTATAATTATTTATGAATTATAATAAAATAATTAAAATAATAGTATAAATAGAATAGTATGTTACTAAATACTATTAAGAATTATAATATAATTCAATGAGCAATAAAATAAATAGAATAAATTTTGAATAGCATAAATAGTGTAATTATTTTAACAATATTATATAAATTATGAATTATACTATTTATTTAGTATTATATTATTAAATAAATTAAATAAATAACTTAATATTATTTTTAGAGTATTTTATGAAAGATTATTGCATGATACTAAATAATCTATACTTGGTAATGATTGCAAACTAACTTTTTTTAAAAAAAAATTATTTAATATAAATAATAGTACTATTAATTATTAATGATAGTATAATAAATATTTGGGAAAATTGTGTCAATGCCCCAAAAGCAAAAACTTCATATGTTGGAGCCCCTTTGACTTTTTACCATGTGTTTTAGCCCTTAAATTAGAAACATACGTTCTGCAACATTTCTTTAGCAATTATTACCTGCCAACTAAACATAAAGAGAGAATAAAAAATAAAACACCCCAAAATGCTCTTATCTCCTCTATTCTTTCATGTTAAGTCTAAAAGCAAGTTGAATTAGACTTAACATGAAAGTCTAATTTTATGTTAAGTCTAATTCAACTTTAAGTCTAATTTTATGTTAAATCTAATTTAATTCATGTTAAGTCTAATTTTCCTTTTAAGTCTAATTTAAATCATGTTATGTCTAATTTAACTTGTTTTAAGTCTAAATTAATTAGACTTGACATAAAATTAGACTTAAAAATTGAATTAGACTTAACATGATTTAAATTAGACTTAAAAGGAATTTAACATGATTGAAATTAGATTTAAAATAAGTTAAAATAGACTTAACATGATTCATGTTAAGTCTAATTCAACTTGTTTTTAGACTTAAAATAAGTTGAATTAGACATAACATGGCATATATTAGACTTAAAAAAAATTAAATTAGAATTAACATGAACCAAATTGGACTTAACATGAATCAAATTGGACTTAATATGATACTAGACTTAAAACAAGTTGAATTAGACTTAACGTGATTCATGTTAAATCTAATTCAACTTGTTTCATTCAACTTATTTTTAGACTTGAAACAAGTTAAATTAGACATAACATGATTTAAATTAGACTTAAAAGGAATTAAATTAGACTTAACATGAAATTAGACTTAAAACAAGTTGAATTAGACTTAACATGATTTAAATTGGACTTAATATAAACCGAATTGGACTTAACATGAAACTAAATTAGATTTAACATGAACCGGATTGGACTTAACATGAACCGAATTGGACTTAACATATAATCCGTGTTAAGTTTATTTCATTTTATTTTAAGTCTAATTTCATGTTAAGTTTAATTTAAATTAAACTTAAAATGATTTAAATTAGACTTAACAAGATTTAAATTAGACTTAAAACGATTTAAATTAGACTTAAAATGATTTAAACTAGACTTAACACGAACCAAACTGGACTTAACACGAGCCAAATTGAATTTAACACAAATCAAGCTGGACTTAAACATGAAACAAATTAGACTTAATATGAACTAAACTAGACTTAACACTAAACTGGATTAAAATTAGACTTAAAAAGAATTAAATTAGATTTAACATGAATCAAATTGGTCTTAACATGAAGTAAAATTGGATTTAACATGAAATTAGACTTAAAATAAGTTGAATTAGACATAACATGATTTAAATTAGACTTAAAATGAATTAAATTAGACTTAACATGAATCAAACCGGACTTACTATGAATCAAATTAGACTTAACATGAAACTAGACTTAAAACATGTTGAATTAGACTTAACGTGATTCATGTTAACTCTAATTCAACTTATTTTTAGACTTGAAACAAGTTGAATTAGATTTAACATGATTTAAATTAGACTTAAAAGAAATTAAATTAGACTTAACATGAATCAAACTGGATCTAACATGATAGATCTGGAGAGAACAAAGAGGGAGGAGGAAATGAGGATATTTTGGGCTTTTATATTTGTTTCTCTATCTTTGTGCTTAGTTGGCATGATAATTACATGAAAAAGGGCTGCAGCACATGATGTGACATTTCTTGGGGCTAAACCACATAGAAAAAAGTGAAGGGGCTGCAGTACATGAAGGTTTTACTTTTGGGGCCTCGACACAATTTTTCCTAAAAATTTATACAATATTTATAGTGCTAAATTATTTAAGAGCATAATTTTAAAAAATAAATTAGATAAATATTTTATAGTATATAAACAGTATAATTATTTTAATAGTATTACTTGAACTAAGAATTATAATATTAAATAAGATAAAATTATAGTAAACTGCCATGAATTTTCAGCATTTTACAGTAGATAGACCATATGAACTTTCAAAATCACATTAAAGCTCTAATAGCTTTTTGTAGAAAGCCCCCAGTATCTTTTAGATAAGTTACACCAAACCCTCAATAACTTTCAAAATGTATTTTTATGCCATCTTCTAGTGCTAATTTATAGGGGTTACTGCAAAATTCAAAAAGTTATTGGAGATCTTCTTTGAAACAAAAAAGCCATGAGGGTTTTTGTGTAATTATGGAAGTTCATAAGGAATTACTGTAATTTATTTTATTAAATAATTATAATAAGAAGTAACTATTGCAATATGTAGCAAATACCAAGTGTAACTCTCCAGGGAACATCAGGAAAAAGCTAGCAAGATTAATGCAGCTTAGTTAATTTAGAGTTAAGTTAACAACTTTCAAGTTGAAGGGGCATATTTAAGAGAACTTATAAAATTAACAGTTTTATTTAAGAATAAATTTTTAACAGTTTTATTTAAGAATAATTTTTTAACAGTTTTATTTAAGAATAATTTTAGACTTGGAGACTTAATTAAAAAAAAGGTTAATATTGAGCGATCATTATAAAAAAAACATTCAATTACAATAACTACACAACAATAATTAATTCATACACTTTTTAAAGCAATCTAACTGTACAACTTTATTTATTAACACATACTTTATGATTTGATAAAAAAATTCAAAGTGCAAAGCACGTGCATTATACTAGTATAATGAAATATATATTTCCCCATTTAGTAATGGTTTTCAGTATTAGATGTATTGGAAAAAGAGTTTTCGCTATTGGTATTCAAAGAGATGAAGCATTTTATATTTCCCATTGAATATATATATATTTCCCATTTAATAATGCTTTTTACAGGTAGATGTAAACATGTTGAAGGAATAGTAAGCGAGAAACCAGAGTGTCTTAATATAGAGGAGCGCTTATAGCGTATTAAAAAATGATGTATTATTAGGTTGCCTACTTTATATGCATTTCCTACTTATGACACCGCTAAAACTAAAGACTAACACGAGACACCACTTGAGGAGAATAAATTTGTAAAATTGCCGGTTAGGATTTTGAAGTCAATCATGATAACGCTACTGGGACGAAAACCTTTCTTTGCCTGTGTCACTCAACCTTTCTTACTAACAAAACGTAATGTTTTCTGAAACCGGACATGACTAACAACTATGCTCCAGATTTAGGAAATTTGAGGTGGTTAATTTGTAGTTCGCTATTTACTTCTATCAAAAGTAACCCAACTTCGGTCGATAGCTCCTTTTACCTTTTTTTACCCCTCCGAATAACAGCATTTATTCAGACACAGTATCCAAATCTGCTTAGTCTACAAGCCAGCATTTACCTAGATACAAAACATATACATATCTTCACCTAACGACATCATTTCTCTAGATACTTTCGACCCTATCAACTTCTCAAGAATTCGCTAAATTTTCACAGCAAAATAAGTTCAAATGTCTCTGTATTCTACAATCGGCACCATGCCAATGACCTGGTAGTTTGAGATTCATACAACACAAGCAGTAAACAATTTGGAACTTTCCTTCCAATGTTAGAACGAGTGCTCCCACCTGAAGATATCCTGTATAATTTACATGTCCAGCGAATCAGTGAATTTTTTATATCCACAGAAACATCAATATGAGGAAAATACCAGCTGCATGAAAAAAGGTAAGTACCTCTTGCTGGAAATTTAAGCGCATCTAGAAACCTAAACATTCTTGAGCTACATAATCTCAACAACTGCTCGACCAACAATCTTTCCATGATTGAGATCATCATATGCGCTATTGGCTTCTTCAAATTTGCATTTTCTGGAAACAGTATTTTGGAGATTGAAGACACCCCTCTGTGCAAGCTTAACCACCTGAGGGAGATCTTGTCTGGCCCTTGCACCATATGAGCCAATTATTTTTATCTGCTCCAGTAGTTATTAGTTTTGGGTTACTTACAGTTTGAGAAATTAATAAGTCAGCAGAAGAATGATATGCTTTAACTTAAATTTAGACGACGACGACGACGATGATGATGATGATAATTAAATTGACATGTGTAGAACAATTTCTACAAAATAATTAGGCTTAAAACATGAATCAACAAATTTCTTCTTACCAGTTGCTGCAATCATAGTTAACATAGATCCATATACGAGAAAAATGCATTATGTCATAATAAGATATAACTAACATTTCAACACATGTCCAGTGGTTGAATTTTATGTGTTCGGATCAATAGATAATACAAAATCATATCTGACCTTGGCTGAGTTCTGAAGAGCGAACAAATGTTCACTTGGATAAGAATTTTGATAAATTAAAAAGGCCCAAAAATATTTAAATTGTGATTTGGAAGATCTCAACATTAAATACAGATTTCAAATTCAATGAATTCTCTCTTCTAGTTGTATGGTAGTCATTCCCAATGAATCTCACTACTACTCACAAAAGTGTCCTTATTTGGATTGATTTTAAAGTTGATGAGTCATTAAGGACCCCACAACTTTAGTAGGCACAGTAGTTTAAGAGCAGTTTAAGAAAGTGTCGTCTAGTTATCACTACAACTTTAGGCTCGATTTCAAAGATCTTCCAACATCCAGATCGTTAAGGATAAAATAGGAGACAAAATACCACTAGATTTTTACTGCAAAGGCATCCGGATGTACCTGAGAAACATTACCACCTGAGTCCATAATTACAATGGATATTTGCAAGTAGAAGATGACATCTAAACAGTAATGTATTAGGCTTTTGGTCAGACGAAGAACGAGAAGCAATAAGAGATGAAAGTTCACGAATATGATCAGATAGCAAATTCTCTAGTGTCTGCAGATTCTGTTCCAGATTACAGTTTAGGAATGATCATGAGGCCAATCCAAGAAACCTCTAGAAAAATCACCGTTTTCTACATAACTATATATTAGTTGTTTTTAGTTAAAAATATATTCAGAAGATTGTGGTTCATATTAGAAAGATAATCATTTAAAGGAACAACATGGACACGCATGGAGATAATACACAGACATACGACAATTTTTATTTGACACTCGGTCTTATGTGTCTAAATTCTGATACAATGACATAACTCTTCTTCATGATAAAAGGTCCATGCCGTATAGCAAAAAAAATTGAAAGAGTAAACAGAAAACACATACTAATCAGTGAAACAAGAGAGAAAATTTACGATGAACTATTAGCAAATCTTACAACTCACCTGTCGACGAACCAGATGGTTTATATTTATCTCCCCCACAGCAGTGTTTGAAGCAAGTCCTATCATAACAGCTTTTCCACCATCTCGTATACTTTTTGTGCACTGCATAAAAGTTGATGGTCTCCCCAGCGCTTCTATAGCTATATCGACACCCATCCCTCCAGTGATTTCCTGAGGGCAATAAAGTTGGATTTGAGAAATTGAAGAGCATGAATCAATAGAATATTAAGACAGACGCATAATGTGCTTTCTTATTTGTTACACCAAGTTACTCATGTAAAATAACGACGACGATAATGATGATGAAATGAAATCAAAATGTATTGTATGTGTGTGACAAAGAGAATAATATAGCAATATCAGGAGGGTAGTTCACAGAATTCATGAATTGTCAGGGAAGGCAGTGTGTCAGCTACAGAAAGAAATAGAAAAGTAAAGATTTAAAACTTCAATTTTTCTTTAAATTAGGGTTAATATTGAAAACATGAGGACTACTGTGCTGCAGCCTTTAAAAGAGAAGTGGATGGATTCACGTTAGGTAACAACCAACACTACATTGGAAACATGAAGCTCTGCAACTCTTTTTCCCCATTAATTTTATTTGAACAATGCATGATACTTGGAATATTCAACCAATTGATCCAATATACAGAATGCCCATTCATTCTATAGTGGCATAGACAGAACAGGAGGCCTGGTATCCAAGAAAAATAAAAGCAAAATACTCAAATTTCAGGAAAAAGAGAAGCTTAAAGATGAAAATAACAACAATTAGTGCTTTCATCGTTCAAAAAGTGACTATAGCTACATGCATTAATTAAGTTCCAATATCTTAAGTGCCATTAAGTTCCAATATGTTAAGTGCCACACAAGGACTTCTTAGTAGCATTACTTTTAGAATTTTTTTATATTTGCAAATTCCTTCTGGTGAGATATAGCATCTTGCAAGTGTCAACTTAGACCACAATGTTTACTGTAGATTGGTTACGCTACAGGCCATAATTGCAGAGGTAATGATGAGTATGAAAGAGGAGGGTAACAATTTGCAAAACGGAAAATAAAATGATGGAGAATGGACTAAGGTGGTATGTAGACTCCTATGATTAGTAATATGTAGTAAGAGGAGGTGAGGCAGCCTGCACTTTATGTGAAAACACTCTGGTGCCAAATCAACATTCACACAGGATTTGTAAGGGTTCCTGAAACTTTTCAAACCTGCAGAGAGGTAAACTACCACTTGGAGCTGTTAATGTTTTTCAGATGTCACAACTCACAAATGCTCCAGAGGACCAAAAAGAGTGCACCTTTAAAGTTAATGAATCAGAACAGTGAAAGTAGTAATTGGCATTTATACCAATTTCATCTAATACTGAAAATTTGATGTCCAACAGAAACATAATGATAGATCTAATTAACTCATCTGTACTTAGGGTTTGAATTTATCTATTAAAAGGTGGAGCCTGAAATACCCATACACCTAATCCATATCTTCATTACAGCGACCAATACTTATCACAGAGATCCTAAGGCCAGAACCTGCCAAAGTGGTCTCAATCCCTCAACCTCCAATGTTCACATGTTTGCTACTTTTCTATGTTCTAACCCTGTCAAAATCCATCATCCAGTATACATAGCTTCCTCCAATATTCAACTGTATTACACGTGAAATGGGTAGGATAAATAAATTGTTCCAACTTTCCTCTATCAATTGGACTTATTGGCTGCCGTGACAGCGCATTCCAGTCCAAATGGTGAAAATATTTTGAAGTAACAATGTCAAGTAAATCGAAGCTTGACATCAGATGGAAATTCCATTTTGAATTATGACGGAACATCAAAGAACAAGGGAGAAGAAGCAAAAAAAGAATAGGTTTTTTTCAGGATCACTTCTTTGGCATCACATCAATCTTAATTCTGATCTGACCCATGCCTGGATCGATGATTTCACCTAATTAATGTAAAATGTTTTAAACCTTTGGAAACTAGGTTTCACATCCAAGATTGCATCACACAGTCCAAAGAAATAATAGCTTTTTTCACGAACATCCTTGTGATCTCTATTGAAGAAAAACTAGTCTTTTATAGGCATACAATGAAACTAGTTCTCTATACAAGGAAGAATTTGAATAGATAAAAACTTTCTTAATGATCTGATTTCACGAAGATTTCTTAATCAATAAAAATTTCACTAATATCTTGTTTTTTAGATAAGGTTACAAGAAAAATTCTACCAAAATAAAATTTCGTGTAAAGGAATTTTTTGCCATCTTCTGCTCGCTTTTTCATATGTTTCTTGTATTAGCAAAAAGCTAAAAGGCTAATTTGGTCCTTGTACTAGGGCCTCAATACTCAAACTGGTCCCTCCACTTTCTTTTTTCTCAACTTAAGTCTTTGTACTCCATCTTAGTTGTAAACTTAGTCCTTTTTTAACATCCATTATAAATTAGGTGTTAATTTTTTATTTATGACCACATTTCGCTCAAGAGGTCCCTATACTTTTGGATCTAAATAAAATTTTGACCCTAAACAATTCATATATGTTCTCAAGAAACTACCTTTTGCCTTCTCTCATTCTCTATTCTCTACAAAGCTAAACAAGGATTTGTTTGATTACCTCAGAGTCAAAGCGAACATGTAAATAAATTCATCTAACCCTAAACCACTCTTAAATTGAGATTAGCAAGATATTACAAAATAGATATAAGATAAATTCATATCCTATGACACTCATACTATCTCAATGACATCTCATAATATCTCCTAAATATAAATACCAATAATATCTAACAAGCTTATTTCACTAAAACATGTAAAATAACTTTTCTTACCTTGTGATTAATTATTTGGGTCAATTTCACATAACCCCCCTAAAAATTTGCAGGTTTTCACATAACCCCTATAAATTTTGTTCATCTCACATGGCACCCTAAACTTTGGTGTCCCATAAAATCCCTTTGACTTTTAATGTTTTCTCACTGGACGTCTCCCCCCTCCCCACCAAAACACCCGTAATTTGCAAACAACGAAAATGCCTTTTAGAGAAAAAAATCCAAATTTTGACATTTGTCATTTGCAGGCAACATGTACCCTCCCGTAAATTTGGAGTTTTCTCTCTTAAGTATGTTTTATTTATTTGCAGACTATATATAAGGGGGGTCTAGTGAGAAAAGTTTAAAGTTTAGGGGGTTTTGTGAGACACTACAAAGTTCAAAGGGTTATATGAGATAAAAAGAAAAGCTCAGGAGGATTATGTGAAAAACTCCCCAAAGTTGTTTTTTTCTG